AATGTTGCATTGTTACCAGTATTTCCAAATAAACCACCTGGTTTTTGTTGAGCGAATAAAGTAGAACCACTACCCAACATCAAACTTGTATTTGTACCTAAATTAAATAAATAATATAAAATAAATTTATATCATTCATATAATTGGAAAATTATTTTATTATGCTTTATTTATCATATATGCTTTATTATGTTATATTCTTTCATCAGTTTTGTTTAACTTATGACAGACAGAAAAAGAGTGAGATCATTTTATGAGATATATTTTATTAAATAAAATATTAATTAAAATTTTATAAAAAAAATGTTTAAATGATAAATAAAAAAAATTATAATAAAAATATAAATTATTAAAGGCTTAATATATTGATTTAATTCTAATAATAAAATAAATATACATATATGTAAATTTACCAAGTCCGGATGATGGTGTAGAAGTCGAACCAAAAGAGAATCCAGGTGTTTGTCCTGTAGGTTTAAAAGGTGTATTAAACAATGAAGCACCGGAATTTTGACCTGCAGTGAAACCTGTTGTAGTTCCAAAAGTTGATGGTGTAGTCGAGCCGAAAGACGAAGTCGTTCCAAAACCAATTGTTCCAGTTGATTTGGCACCAAATAAATTAGTACCAGTATTGCTCGATGGTGTTTGACCAAAATTAGAGAATGCAGCGCTAGACGAAGTGGAAGGTGCATTGAAAGCCGATTTATTTTGATTAAATAAACCAATACTCTATAAAAAAAAAACAAGAGAACAATAAATAAGAATATTAATATGCAGTCATGGATAAAATAATAGAATTTTTATTAAATATTTCTTGTTTGCATTACCTGATTCGATTGTGTTGAACCAAATGTAGGACCGAAACTAGTGTTTTGTCCCGTATTGATACCGAAACCTGTACCAGCATTTTGATTAGTATTGCTGGCTGCAAAAAGTGGTGTTGGAGCTGCTGCTATAAATAAATAAATAAACTGTTATATCTTTACAAAAAGATATTTATAATTTTTAAGTCTTTACATATATCGATATATCGAAACAATAATGCTAAGTATATTGAAATCAATATTATTAATGATAAATGATGAATTTGATACTTACTACCAAAAGGTTTCTGAGTATTACTACCGAATAAATTTGTGCTTGGAGTAGAATTGAAAGCGAAATTATTTGTTGTTGTTGTCGCTGGTGTACCGAAACTTGTTATAGGCTTTCCAAATAAGCCACTTGAACCAGATTGTGTGGTAGCTCCAAAACCTCCGCTTATTCCACCAAAACCTAATTTAAGATTAAAAAAAAAAAAAAAAAAAAAAAAAAAAA